TGTTTATGCTGCTGCAACAATCCACATTCTGGCTCCAATTTTTACAATATTATTTCTGAAAAAGGGCAGATTCATTACCTAGAAATTCAAATAAAAATATTTCCATTTTGCAGTCAGGGTTAAATGGGCAAACTGCCCACCGTTGAACCAGTTCCATGGGGCTCCACTTCCACCACCTCCCTTGCTTGTAAAAGCAGCATAATGCATGTAGACTTTTCATCTACTTTTTTCTTCCTAAAGAACAAAGACTGCATAGTAAAAGCTAGAAGCAGAGAGTGAAGAGATGCTGCTGGTCAAGATGCAATTTCTGTGCTCCCTTCTTGGATGGAGGGAACAGAGATTGGGCTGGCCATTCCTACAAAGACTGTAATCAGGACAATTGTGAGCCATTCTTAGATTGTTTGGGGGCAAAGTTGGCTTTTAATATTTTTTGTACTATCCCTTCGAAGAATTTCCTCCACAGAGGTCCCTGCACCCAGACGGCTTCTAACTATGGAGGATAAGTAAAGCTTATCACCCAGACTAATAATTTTGAAAGGCAAAAAATAGCACGACTTATGAATTTTTCCTGCCCTCCCAATGAATCAAGGATAGGCACGGTGTAGATGATTACAGGTTCTTCACTCAGATGCAACATCTAACTTCAACACACTACATGCTTCTTGAACTTTCCAGTCTGAGGCTAATCTCCCCCCCCCCCCCCCCATACACACCACATGAAGAAGCCCTTTCCCTAGCATTTAACTCCCTTTTCTAGCTCCACTGTACCCCATTGTCCAACCTATCAGGGGTCATTCATAATCATCAGTGAGTAAGGCTGCTGACAATGACATTCTGCCCCTTTAAAAAAAAACATGGAATTACAATGTCATAAAAGATGTCTAGGTTAGAAAAGCTGCTACTGGGAGGAAGAAAGGAAATGGTTCACAAGCAGCCCTTTGCAGCTACTGGTTCAAAAGAAAGGATGAATTCATTACTCTTTGATGCCCTCTGGAGGCCTATCAGAATACTTTTCCCTAGAAAGAAGGCTTATCTTTTTGCTGCATCAGAGGTGAAGGAAATTTAGCTATGGCTGAAGAATCATGTCTTTTTGCCCTGGGGAAATCCTCAGTAGGAACTTTCTGGGTCTGAAAGTTCTAATGTCTTCTTGTGTCTCCTGACTGGCATGTTGTGGTTTTGGAGGTTTATTCAGAAGTCAGCATCTTGCTTGTAAGAGAGATGGAGGAAAGGACAATTGGGAAAAGCAGACTTTTTAATGAGAGGGTCAGAAGGCATTGGTAAGAACAGGCAAAGCAAGCAGGGCATCTTTAAAGAAAAAGTCCTGCAAAAAACTGACCAAGGAGGTCCTATCGTGAATTAAGAAAGGGAAGAAGGAACGGGAAGTAGGAGGGGTAGAAGCATAAAAATGAAGTCATGTGTTTTATTTTCTGCACAAGTAAGATGATTTATGCCATTCTCAATCCTTTCTCCACAGCTGTACTCTGCTGATCCTGCTCATTATATCCATCCAATTAATCCATTTTATCCATCAACATCCCCATTATTTGGAAGGATTATATATAAACAGATGTCAGTCCCATTATAGCATATGAGATCAGAAGTATTGAGAAGTCAGAAGTTCATGCATTTTGTTCATAAATAATGATTGTCATAAGAAGTGACCATGAACAAGATCTTATACATTTTTTTCTTCACCTGTATTTACATTCACAAATTATACCTGTCTCTGTATAAATCTCCCATAATGCATTGTCTATACTGGCTATTGGGAGTTGAAGTCAAATTCACTTGAAGGATTTCAAATCATGCTGGTTAGATTCATAGTGAGGTTTAGTGTGGTCCTATCATAAAACAGGGTTTGGCCAATTTTCACAAGATCAGTTCTGTAAGTATTATTTACCAAATAACAATAAATAGCTACATTTATAAATAGGAAACATCAAAGAACGACTTCAGTTTCATATCCTTAACTCAGTTTAGAGGACATGTTCATAACGTTTAGGGATACCCTATAATTAAAAGGCTGTCCTGCTTTTTAGTATCCATTTGGCTGGTAGTTATCTGAACATTAATGCAATAAAGACCAAGGTTCTTGATAATGAAAATGGACTGAATGATTGCAAGTTATGTGTTACAGTTACACAGCTCAAACTCCACAGGTAGGTGAACAGGTCTTGCTAGATTCACTACAGATGCAAAACTGGAAAAATAATTGTTAAGATGTACAAATGTGATGAAAAGATAGTGAGTATGGTCTGTGGTGAAGAATGGATGCTTGTCAAAAGAAGCAAAGAGAGATTGGTTGTATCCTGCTCAATTTGTCACACAGATGTCAGAGTTGGGTATGTCAAGAGAAATATAAAAGTGACTTGAGTGCACCAGGAATGGGGTGCTTAAAATATATGTGGAGTCAAACAGAGATAGAATATGGAATGAGAGGATGCTCATTGAATGTGGACTGCACAAAAAAATAAAGACGTGACAATGGCTTAGTCATAAAGAATGAATGAGGATCAAATATCTTGCTCTCACAATGCACATGAAGGGTGAATGGGTTGAGAAAAGGGGTAAGACCAAGATAGTGATTGAATGGAATGTTTTGGGGGAAAAAGAAAGGCAATACAGCAAGGCTGAAAATGTATAGAGATACATAATGAATCAGGGTTAATGGTTAGATCAGGAAAGCAGAGAATGTAAACATACAACTGTTTTTATCCAAGTGTTCAAAGGATAACAGAAATTTTAAAAAAGCAAAACAATTCTATAAAGGAGAAAGGAAGTAAATACTATCCAAGCACATAAATGTCTAAGGCAGCCTTATGTTGACTGGATATTTTGGACTACAATTCCATATCGTACCACCAGGAACATGGGCTGCAGCTTGTGGGAGTAAATGTAAAGCATCTGGCAAATACTGGCTTGACTGTCCCCTTTCTTAAGGATACTAAATGCCCTCTCTTGATAGCAATTCTGCACCAGCTATCCTACTATGAGGAAACTACAGGAAATCAGATTCTAGGAAATTAATTATAATAGCATTGCAATTACAAGCCTGCAGGAGGCTTATTGTTTCTATCTTTGCTCCAAAGTACAAATTCAGTGAACATTCGATCATTTAAGTTCATAACTAAGCTGAAGAGACATTATAGGAACTGAGAGGTCATCTGTTTTTAATTCTAGTAATTGCTTGCTGAGTAAACTAAAAACCCATCTGAAAATTTGGAGTGTAAAATGACATGTTTTATATTGATTACAGTGCCTCAGATAGAGACCCAAGGACTGATACCAAGTTTTATTCCCATTATGCCTTCACACTTCAGTTTTATCCAGTCATAGGGCAATGCAGAAATGCCAATCTACTTCTGACTGGAGAACCCATAGGGGGTATGTATAAATGTGGCCCTTTAATCAGAGGAACCCAAATGATCTTGAAGATAAAGCACCGTAACAGTGAGTGCTCTTTGCAACTCATAAAAGATCTTCAGGTTGGTTCTAGTTTCCTGTTCCACAATCTGGGTATAAAGGGTATATTTATTTATTTATATACAAGGTAAAGTTGGAAAATAAAAGGATTAGCTGAAGGAGACCAGACTGTCTATATCATAGTTTATGCAGTCATAAGGCTGTATGACTGAAATAGCTTCAATTTGGCCATCTTTAGATAAAACAAGTCTTCAAATTCCAGAATTCTTAGCCAGAGGAAGGCTGGTAATTTTGGAGCTACTATCTGAATCTGCTGGATGTGTCCAGGTGGAAAAAAGCTGTACTAAATTGGTAAGCAGGGAGTAAACTTGGGTAAAAACCCCATTAACAGGTTTTATTGACGTGCTTTCTTTTTCCTGTGCTACATCGACATGAATTACACTTTCCTACTTATATAGATTTGTGTTATTAAAATGTTTAGTTTCATGGAATTCACCTTCTCAAAATACTGAATGGCACAATGTAATATTACAAAAGACTCTATGGGCAAATCAACACATTAATGGAAATGCAATCATATTTGTACCATTTGGGACAGGATGCAATTTTGTGGTGGGGAGAGATGAGTTCACATGTGGCCATTACAATAACAGAGTATTGCATAAACTTGGTATATCTATTCTTTACAAAAAAATACTCTGTCTTTTGTGCTTTCATCAAATTAGGTTTTAGGTAGTAATATCTGCTCTCTTCAAAGTGGCACCGTGTGAATTACATGCACACATAATCTGAGGTTGCCTATACTGTTTGACTTTCAGAATATAGGTGTTGAAATTGCCCACAACGTCTAATACAATTTTCAGCACAGAGCTCTCTGTTGCCAGTTAATAGTTCAGGGAGGCCATCAGCTCAAAGCTTGATCAAAACTGTAATAGCTCTTTTAAGGACTGGGACTTTCCCTGAGTCTAAATGTTTCATATTTTAAAACTGATGCGTGTGGGAATATTTATTCCACCTTCAGGGTCTTAATCTTTTAAATCATGGATTTTCTCTCTACCCATACATGTAGAGAGTGAAGCAGATCTCAAAATGGATTCTTACAGTGTTGTAAAGAGAAGCTATTGTTTCTCTTCCATTCTCACAAACCAAAAGATCACAATCCCATGTTCTTGAAAAACAAAAACAAAACTCTTGTTAGTTTTCTTTCTTCTGGCCAAAGAACAAAAGTGTCTTCCAGCAATAACCTTCAAGGCTATACAAATCTCTAAGCAAATCTTCTCCCCTATTGGCCACCCACATATTAAGCCCAAAAGCCCTGGAATTTTTCCTGCATATGCCCCAGAAACTCTTGCCAGCAGCCATGTCATAACATCACCTTCTGAAACCAACATGCGGCAGCCAAGTTCAGGGGCTTTGTTGAATTTTTTGGCTTTGTGGAAGGTGTACTTTTCTTTCCTAGCCCTGTTGCATGATGTCTGACCACTCAGCACTGCAGGAGGAGAGGGTGGCAGGTGCTTTGCACCAGGGAAAATAACGAGTAGAATCTTGAGAACCCGAAGACTCTTTGGACTTCAACCTCACTTGGACATTTGAAGGGAAGTCACCACAGGTTTTGTTTTAAAGTACTGCTTAAATCTTATGTCTGCGTACCTGCACAGCAATACAAAGATAAATATTTGTTAGGTATAATAATAGGAACATTGTGTACATATTAATTTTGTAGTATATCTTTGGTGTCTACGAATGGAAAATTATGCCAAAAAAGTTGCAGATGTCCTTTCTATACAGAGTCTGTCTTCTCACATACATCTACAGCACTTGAACATTGAATTCTTACACTGATACCTCATGCATTTATACGTATGCATTCTTACATTTTTTTTATAAACATGCTTATTTTGATAATTCACACATGATGCTCATAACAGGATGATTTTACATGCTGTTGTAAAAATATAATCAACAATAACAGGGTATAGCAATGAAAGTATTAGGCTAGAATTTGAAATCAGGGATCAGATTCTGACTTAGATATGGAGTTTTTAGGTGATCATGAACCATCTGAATATCTATGGAATTAAGAAGCTTCTTGGATGAGAAGTGAAATGTCTTCAAGGAAAAACAAGTCCAGTTGCCTTTTAAAAAAGCCCCTTTGGGACTTGAACTATCTACTTACTCTCAGCCAAAAGTATAAAATTATAGGAACAATTAAAAAATGGTATAAGGCAGGTTATATGCAAACCACTCCCTTCCATGTCCAACATCTTGCTAATGCATCAGACTTAATCTAATCAGGAATTCTGGTCAAAATTACTCTAAATCTATGTGTCATTTAATTTCCCTTCTTGATTCTCAAATCTATCATAAAATCTACATGTGATGATCTCTAAATTTCTCATTACATTAAGAGTTTCTCCTGCATTTCTAAAAAGGGCGTTGGTACTTACCTGATACGCCCATTCTCTGTGAGCTGTGAAGAGCATCCAGAAGTGGGAGGTGCTTCAGTCTCTTCTGGAAAGGCTGGGCTTAAAACTCCGGGACGCTCCTCCTCCTCCACGGGACACCTCCCCAGCGTCTCCCAGTTTTGCAAAGACTGAGTGCCAAAGTCCAGAACTCATCACCTAATCTAGATCCCTGACCGGAACGGAACCCCACCAGATGGAAAGAAATGGGTGGGGCTGGATGCTCTTCACAGCTTACAGAGAACGGGCGTATCAGGTAAGTACCAACGCCCTTTCTCCCATGAGCTGTTCAGAGCATCCAGAAGTGGGACATACCAAAGCTTGGCCTGTCCTTAGGGAGGGACTCCGTCTGGATTGAAATCCACTCCTAAACTCTGTGGAACCTCTGCAGGACTCTTCTGCCAAATGAAGCGTCCGCTGAGGCATAGACATCAATTTTATAATTTCTGACAAAGGGCGATGGTGAAGCCCAAGTTGCCGCTCTGCAAATTTTGTCTATGGAAGCCTGTGTGGCCCATGCTGCTGATGTTGCCGCACTCCTTGTTGAGTGGGCTGTAATGCCCTTAGGAGCTGAGATGGACTGGCATTCGTAAGTTTTAGTTATGGTGGCTCTCAACCATCTACCAATGGTCGTCGATGACACCTTGTGTCCTAAAGTGGATGGGTTGAAGGATAGGAATAGAGCCTCAGATTTTTGAAATGCTGCCGTGCGGTCTAGATAGATGCTTAACGACCTTCGAACGTCAAGTCGATGCCATTGATGCTCCAGTCTATGAGATGGTTTCAGACAAAAATTTGGAGGCACTAACTCCTGCGCTCTGTGGAAGACTGAATTTACTTTAGGGGTGAACGATGGATCCAATCTGAGAACCACTCTGTCCGCATGAAACACGCACAGGTCCTTTCTCATCGACAATGCTGCCAATTCGGAAATCCTCCTTGCTGATGTGATTGCAAAGAAGAAGACCACCTTATATGTAAGGAATTTGAGACTAGAGGTTCTTAAAGGCTTGAATGGGCCAGTTGTAAGTGCGGTTAACACCTTATTGAGCTCCCAAGTGGGATAGCGGTGAATTACAGGAGGTCGTAAGTTTGCAGCACTCTTAAGAAAGCTGCAGACATGTGGATGGTGCGCTATGGAACGAAGGTCACCCCAGGATATCACCGAGGCTAAGGCCGCCACCTGTCTGTGTAAAGTATTTGGAGATAGGCCCTTGGTCAACCCCTCCTGTAAAAAGTCCAATAACTGTCCTATTGATGGGGTGGTTGGGTCGATCTTAGACCCCCGGCACCAGCGACAGAAAGCGGACCACGTGGCCTCGTATATACGATTTGTTGAGGACCATCTGGATGCTTGTATGGTGGCAATGGCATCCTCTGAAATCTGTTGGGTCTTTAAACGGGTCCGCTCAGCCTCCATATGGCTAGGCTGAGCCATTGTGGGTCCGGGTGAAGTACCGGCCCTTGCGAGAGGGAAACCCTTGACGGTGGAATTTTCCAAGGTTGTTCTCTCGACAGGTCCTGTAAGTCCGCGAACCACGTTCGCCTGGGCCAGTAAGAGGTGACCAATATCAATTCTGCTCGTTCCTCCAATAACTTCTGGATCAACCTGGGTATTACAGGGAGTGGAGGAAACGCATATAGAAGTCCGGGAGGCCACTGACATCACAGGGCGTTGACAGCCTCCGCCCCGAGTCGGGTACCTTGAAATATACCGGGGCAATTGGGCGTTGAGGGGAGAGGCAAATAGATCGATCACCGGTTGCCCAAACCTCCGCACTGCTTCCTGGAAGACAGACTACTCTGTCTGACACTCTGATCTATCGTGGCCCTGCTGAGCCAGTCCGCTTGTGTGTTTAAGGCCCCTGCTATGTGCTCTGCCTTGAGCGAAAGCAGATTGGCCTCGGCCCACTTGAACAACCTGGCCATCTCCAGCATCAGAAGTTTGGAGTGGATACCCCCCTGTCTGTTTACGTGGGCCTTGGTTGTGATATTGTCTGTCAAGACCAGAACGTGGTGTGATTGGAAAAGGGGTAGAAAACTGCGTAACGCCAGATGAACTGCTCGCAGCTCCAACAGGTTGATGCTTTGTGATTGTTCGGAAATAGTCCAACTTCCCTGTGCAGTGTGGGATTGGAAGTGAGCTCCCCATCCTACCAGGCTGGCAACGGTTGTGATCGTTGCCCTGCAAGGTTCCTTGAAAGGGCCCCCCTTGTTTATCGTGTTTTCCGACCACCAGCGGAGCGATCGGAGAACATTGTGCAGTACCTTTATCCGGACATTGGAAGTGGCTCTTCTGGATTGCTGGAAAGGTAGCAGGAACCATTGCAGATCTCTAGAATGGAATCGAGCCCAAGGCACAATGGAAATACAAGAAATCAGTTTCCCTAACAGTTGAGACAGAACTGCCAGGGAAACCCTCTTTAAGGCTCTGATCTCTCTGGCCAAAGACTGGATACTATTCAACCTGTCCTGAGAGAGAAAAACCTTGCCCTCCACTGCCCCTAAATAAACTAACCTAGTTGAAGGGATCAAATGGCTTTTATCCCAATTTATGGAAAAGCCGTGACCTTGAAGGGTCTCCAGAGTAATCTTGGTATCCAAATTTGCTTGATGTCTGGAAGATGACAAAATTAAAATATCATCCAGATAACATTGTAAACGAATAGATTTGATCCTGAGGGAGGCAGCCAAAGCCGCTAGGACCTTGGTAAAAGTTCTAGGGGCCGAAGCCAGACCGAATGGTAGGGTGATATATTCGTAGTGCCGATCACAATAGCAAAATCTAAGATATTTGTAGTGAGCAGGTCTAATTGGTATATGTAGATAAGCCTCTGTCAGATCTATAGAGGTCAGGACATCGTTTTCTCTGATGCTGAGCAGAATGGACTGGAGAGTAGTCATTTTGAATTTTCGATAAACCAATGATCTGTTCAGACGTTTGAGGTCCAGAATTGCCCTCCAGCCCCCCGAACTCTTTGGGACCACAAACAATAGAGAGTAACAGCCTTGACCCCGTTGTTCAGATGGGACCTCTCCAATGGCCCGAATATGCAGAAGATGATTGATAGCCTCCTGCATCAACACTCTCTTAATGGGGTCCGTGGACCTAGGGCTCCTAATGAAAAAGTTCGGAGGGGAGGATTGAATAGTGCCAAACCAAACCTAACAGAGTCCCTGACCCATGCATCAGAGATGGATCTGTCCCATTGATCAGCAAACAATTTTAGCCGCCCTCCAATGGGAACTGCTGTCAAGGACTCCCTTGGGGCGACGAAAAAATTGGCCTCCGGTACCTCTGGGTGTCTTCTGTTTTGGCCTCCCCGCTGACCTCTGTCAGAAGATTCTGACCTATCCTGTCTAAAACTGGGTCTGTAGCCTGATGTTCTTTGCGAACTGGGAACGAATGGGCCTTGATAGTAGGGCCGAAAGGAACCCCTTCGAAACGACTGGGGCGTTCTGTTTTCAGACCTCCAAAAAAGAGGGGGAAACACTTTTTTCTTGTTTCTATTCTCAATAAGCAGGGGCTCCAAGACACTGCCAAATAATTTATTCCCCGATATTGAGGCTGATGCCAGCTTGCATTTATGCTTGGTATCCGCCTGCCAATGTCTGAGCCATAGCAGTCTCCGTGCTGATACGTGAGATGCTATGGCTCTAGACGAGAATTTGACTGCATTAAATGTGGCGTTGGCGGAGAATTCTGCCGCTGCAATAATCTTAGCAATGTCCTGGTGGGCTCTGACATTTGACGCCGGCAATATATCCCTCAAGTGGAAGAACCATCGTAGGGAGGACCGTGTAAAAAAGGATGCAGCTGTAGCTGCCCTAATGGCCCAGGCATCAGAAACATGCGCCCTACGAAGTGCCAACTCTGCTCTCTTTTCTTCTGGTCTCAGGGCTTCCTCGGCCTTGTTGGGAAAGGTTGAAGAAGAGGCCAGTGCCACAATGGGCTCATCCACCTCCGGCGTTTTGAGAAAATTTGAAAACTCTGGTGCCAAATTATAATATCGTTTATCGTACCCTGTTGGGGCTGGGTAGGATGCTGCTGATGCCCATTGATTTTGTACTAATTCAGCAAACATACGAGGGACAGGAATAGTTTCTGCCTCATTAGCCGGTTGTGAGAATATTAGATCCTCGGATTCGTCCTGAGACCCTGTTGACAATGGATGAGGGCTTGATGTGCCTAGTTTAGCGGTGTTCTTTGCTTTGAACAGTAAAGATTTAAAGAGGTGCGGACGAAAAAGGCCAGAAAAGGTAGGTTGGTCCGGAATGAGGCCTTCATTATCCAACATTCCTCGTTCTAGTGGGTCAGCCTCTGACAACCCCAAGTCCATCTGATGGATCGACCCCACCTCCATGGGAACATCCTGGTCATCTAATTCCATCTCCTCCTGAAGACCCTGGACTGGTATGTCAGGGATATTGGGGAATACCTGAGTTTGATGATGTCCTATATGCACAAAGGATCGAGCAGACAGGGATCCTGCTTCCAAAGTAGCCGAAAAGTGTCTGATCCAGATGGATTGCTGAACTCCAGCCACAATGCCCTTTTGTATGGCTATCTCCATCCATTGCCTCATTTCGATGGGAATAGTCTCAGGTAATCCCTCCTCCTGTCTTAAACCGGCGGCTGTAGGGGTGAAGGTTGCCTCTGGGATTCACCGGGCAGTGCTCATTGGAGGAGATATGCCTATGGGAGGCTGTCCAGAAATAGCCTGTCTGGGCTGGGTGAATAAGTCCAAGGGCCCCAACAATGTACTTGGGCCCTGATCCGATTGTTGTGTCATAGCCACCTTGTCCACCTCCCTGGCCCGTTTCTGCAACTGCCTTTCCAAGGCTTGGTGCCGTCTATGGGCATCCTTATCCACCACCTTAGAGGCTTTTTGGGGGCCCACTGACTTATCTCGGGACTTATTTGTCTTGGAGCGGAAGACGTCACCTTACATTGTGGAGGACTGATTCTCATGCCTCTAACATTAATTTTTTAAAAAAATTATTATTACTATTATTAATATTATTAGTACTTAGGGGTGATGCCTACCCCTGTGGGTGAAAGTAGAACGCTTCTCCAGGAGTGTAAGTCTATCTATATATATCTATATACACACACATATATACACATACACATATATACAATACACACACACACATATATATGTATCCATACACATACGTGCCTATATCTACATGTAAAACTGTGTATATGGGAAACTGTATCTAAGGGTCCCCAACAAGGGAAACCCCCAAGCACTCCAAGCCAGAAATATTCTGGATCCCTGGTCCCCAACAAGGGAAACCAGCTATACAGGGCCTGATGGATCCTTTCCTGTCAAAAACGTCCCACTGTTTGAAATGGCACTTGCAGTTTCACTCCAATGTAATGATCCAAAAGCAATTGCAAAAAGAGAGAGAGAAAAAATCCTGTTTAAGGACTAGCCTGCTTATCCAACGCCAGCAAGATAAAAGAGAAATAATGCCAGGGAAGCGGAGTGGGAAGGTACCTGCCCCGGTCCCCAAGAAGGGAAACCAGTGGGGAATGGCGCCTGTGATATTTAGGTACGAACTTGAAGCCAGCTGTTGAAAATGGCGGGAAGGCAGAATCTCCGATGTTAATTGCCTGAGCAGTTTAACGAGCCGCTGCTGCTGACTCTCTAAATTGTCAGATAAATGATCCTGTCAGTCAAAACGGCATGGAGAAGTAAGCCGCGGCTGCGAGCGCTCCGCCAAGATCACAGAGATAAGACGATCGGTGATTAGATAATCTACTTGCCTGAAGCGGCCGTCCCAGGCTGCCTGTGGAATGGCAGGCTCCGCCAGCCACAAAGAATTGCTCTCAAACTGATCGGGGGAATGACCTAATAGAGCCACAAGCCTTGAAATTGCCAAATTAATTGGGGAAAATTTTTCAAGCCGATTTAACTCAAGAGCAAACCTGAATTTTGACTAGCTGAATCAGAAAACCGTTCCAGTCAGGAAGTGCACAACCTCTTACCACGAAGGCTGAGCTAAAACTGGGGGATGCTGGGGAGGTGTCCTGTGGAGGAGGAGGCGCGTCCCAGAGTTTTAAGCCCAGCCTTTCCAGAAGAGACTGAAGCACCTCCCACTTCTGGATGCTCTGAACAGCTCATGGGAGAATAATCACAATTGCACCAATTCCCAGATAACCAAGTGCCTAATAATTCTAGGAAGTATTTTCTAATTAATACAGATAATAAAAATCATCAGCTGTGCTGCTCCAATAGGAGACTGGAGCAGCAAACCAATGAATCGGTATGCCCTTAAAGTATTAATATAAATTTATCTCAGCTTTTGACCTTTTCTTTTCATCACAAGTGAATGTCATCGAATGTTGTCCCAAATGTGCTTTTCAAAAGCCAATTGAACTTGCTTGTTTTTTTTCCTAGAAAATGTTTCACTTCTCATCCAAGAAGCTTCTTGGATGAGAAATGTTTCGAATGCTTAACTCAAACATTTTGACCCCACCTTTGATTTCAGGGTGGGTTTAAACGCATTATCAACTAACTACAGTAATAAGAAAAAAGACAAAGGCTGCATCCTAAGTTCACATTTACCTAGGAGTAATTGTCTTGGCTGAAAAAGTACATAAAATACCAATCCCATGCAAGATTATTTGGAAATGATGACAAATATAGGTGATTGGGAATGTAAATGTAAACTTGCAAAAAGTGCAGGAAATTTAAAATGAGCAGTTATTCAATGGGTCACAAGGCTATGGGAAAGAAGGCAAAGCAGGTTATTCATCCATACATTTGGTTTCATTTTACCTTTCTCTTCATTTCATCTATATTTAATCAACCATGGTAAGGATGTGGGGCAGAAGAGTGAATGACTTCAAGGGAAGAATCAGGAACTTCTATTAAAACTGATTCTTCACGGATATTTTCAAAAAGTTATTTGTTAGTTATTTTTTTCTTATAATGCATTGAGACTTTAGGTGTCTTACTGCAGTATAGTGTAAGTTTCTCTAGCCTGCCTTTCAAAATCAAAAAAGCCATTAAGCATCAAAATATTTCAATCATTACCTTAAAACTCATGAAAACAGGCAACTATCATGAAACTCATGAAAAAAGACAATTTTTTGGAAGGCATAGAACTGACAGATGGCACCGAACTAATAGGTCATTAACTAAATGTGTTTAATTTCTAGAATGAGAGCTTATTAAACTCTAACAAAGCTGGAAACCTGGAAGCTCCCACTTCTATTGCTAGAGGGATAAGGTAAACAGGTGATCAAGGCTTAAAATCATCGTAAGGTTTTCACATTACTTTTATATAAGTAAATCTCACAGAAATGCTCTTAGGTAAGTCTTATATGACTGCAACCATAACATTTTACACTGATATCAGGACTCTGAACCAACATAGCAAATTATTGTCACTGGCATCTCCACCCCCTCCCCGATGCCAGGCAGACAAAGAAACAAACAACTAGCATCTTGTTTGTATCCTGTCAGTGCAAATAGCAATGACTCACCTGGCAAAATTAAAGTCTATCGTAGAGAATTGGGCTTGGATCAGGCCCCAGCAAGCCCACAGAAAATGGGAAGCCTGAGAAATGACAACAAAATTAGAAAAATGCCTTTGAGAAGTATGAGTGGACATATTAACATGTAACAACTTTGTTCTATATGAGAGAATGTATGTACTTGCACACACCCAAAGAGTTCTCATTGCATTTGATACCTGCAGAGACAGTTATTTACAGGTGGGAA